GAACATAGAATTGATGAGTTGGAAAACTCTTTTGGAGTGTTTTCTATGGATGTGCAGCATGACATGGATAAGCAAAATCATCGGCTAACAGTGATAGAACAGCAGATGCAGGACCTATTAACTCCGCAACGGGACCACCATAAAAGGATACAGCAATTGGAGAGAACTCTGCCCATTGAACTTAAGTCTGAATGCCAACAGGTAAAAGACAACTTGGAAAAGAACATTCAGAAGGTAGGACAAGCAATGATGGATTGTATGTCACGAAGGGATGTTCAGCTGAAATCTTTAATTCAATCTTCCCCCACTGTAACATCTACTCCTCACTTCAGTTCACCTATATCAGCTGATAGTCCGACTTACCCTATACATTTTAAAACACAGATCAAGCTGGAGTTTCCAAGGTTTGGCAGTTTGGAGGGAGAGGACCCTATTTCTTAACTTGAAAAATGTGATGAGTATCTTGCAGTGCAACCGCTGACTGATGCAGAGATATTATCCATGTTACCTTCTGTTTTAACTCATACAGCTAAGGACTGGTGGATTGCGGAGAAGAAGAGGGTACAGACTTGGAGTCAATTTAGGAAGGCCTTTCTACAGTCGTTTCTGCCTGATGACCATGAGGTTGAGGTTGAAAGAAGAATTAGAGAACGGAAACAAGGAGTTGATGAAAATATTCGAACCTTTGCTTATCAATATCGAGCCTTATGCCTACGACTGAAACCTTCCATGTCAGATCGTGAAATACTCCAAGCCACACTTAGGAACTGTAACCCTCGTGTTGCCAGCATACTCCGAGGCACTGTCTCTACGGTTGATGAGTTTGTACGGGTTGGTTCCCTAGTAGAAAGAGATATTGGAGAGGAAAGAGCCTACTGGAGACAGAGACAAGTAGAGCATCAGGCAAAGTTGAATGGAGCTAATAAAGCTACAAAGGGGCGACAGTTACATCATCACATTGCTGTAATGTCAGGGAATGTGGAGAAGCAACTTGACCCATTATCCTTGCCAATTTCCATCAATAACTATAGATGTCAGGCAGTTTTGGATACTGGTAGAACCTATTCTTTACTTCAGGAGTCTTACTGGAAAAGATGGGAGTCAAGCACTGAAACGTTGCAGTCCAGCAGAGGTCAGACTTTCTCCCTTGCTAATGGTCATGTACAGACAGCCCTAGGAAAAGTAATCTGGAATTGTACCCTCCATGGACAGAAGTATCCGTTCACGGCCTTTGTGATGAGAGATCAAGATTTGACTTTACCCATCGTACTTGGCCTGGAGTTTTTGATGGATTCAGAGATCCAGATTGATTTCAAGGACAAGACTTACATTCTATCGGAGGAAGCGGAAGTAAAACATCCATTCATACGGTATGCATCTTCAGCGGTAATTAGTCTACATCTGGCATTACCTCTAGTTCAAGTATCTTCCTTCACCTTGGCAACCATTGAGGAACTGGCCAGTCAGGCAGATGTTTCCAAAACCCAGAAAGAGCAGCTTGAAGCATTTATGCTTGATCGACCAACAGTCTGCACCGACTCCCTGGGCCGAGCTGCTGTGATCAGGCATGAGATTAACACCATCGATGAGATTCCAGTTCGTAAACGAGCCTACCCTGTTTCTGTGGCCAGACAGCAATTCATTGATCAGGAAGTGTCCAATATGTTGGAAAAAGGGATAATTAGACCCTCAACTTCTCCATGGGCAGCTCCCATAGTTCTAGTCCCCAAGAAGGATCTGGCACCGAAATGGCAAGGTCCAGCTAAGGTTTTGAAAAGGTTAAACCAAGTTAATTACCAGGTAGGGATGTTGGATGACTCAAAACCAGTTGAAACGTTTCATGTAGAGAAAATGAAAAAGTTTTATGGAGTTGTTTAATTTTGTTTTTTAAGGGGAAGGGTGTGTAACAGTTTCCCTGTTACTTATGTACCAGAAATCCTCTTTGAGCACTATTGTCCCTACTCACCTGAGCATTAGGGGGCGCTCTGGTAAAGTAATGCATGAATTTACCTATTTAAGGTAGCAAAGAAGGAGTAATGGCAGGAAGTCAATTCTCTATCTTCTTTGGAGAAGCTTACCTCATGGTGGTTTGAGACTCTGTACCCTGTTTGAGGAACTTTATAGTTCTAAGCTCATCCGTAAGTAATTGTTTATGGTATTTTGTTTTGTTAACAATAAGGTTTGTAGCACATGGTTATGGTTTGTTTAAATGTTTGTCTACAGAGGGTTTGTGTTCTGAGCCTATATGGATTATTTGGTGGCTTAAACATCTGAGAAGCCTGGAATTAGGAGTGCTGACTGCTTAAAAGCAACGCTGGACTTCAAATATCACTTTGCTAGTTGATCTTTGCTGGGGAATCATCTGGGCATTCAAGTACTGTTTTTTTTCTACACTTCATGTTTCAACAAAGATTGTGCTCTCACTTTATACCCTCTACCACAAAGACTGAGCAAAGTATATGGGTCTAAGTGACTGCAAGCCAGGGGCTCTGTTTTGGGATACTGGACTGGTCTTATGCTCTGGTTCTAACTGTTGAACTCTCAATTGTGTGTGTCATATTGTATTTTTATGTGCTTGGTAATTATATTTAATACACCTGACTCATGAGTAGGATTGGTCTGTTTGGTCCCTCATTTCGTGTAGCATTTGCACCAAAGACAAAGGTAGATGTGTTACACTGTGATGAATTACGTTTGTTTTATTCATTCTCAGTTTTTCTTCGGTATGAAGATTGTGCTAAAATCAACTTCCTGTAGTTAAGTTTTACAATGCTTTTTATTTACTTTATGCCAGATTGTGTAGCGCAAAACTGAACGTGTTCAGAAATATATGCACGTTTAACGCACAGAGCGTGTCTTCCCTGAATTTGTCAAAACCATAGCTTACACCCCGTCCATGAATCCCATTTCTTTCTTTCCCCCTAATCTCCTGTACATTTGGCTGGAGAGTTTGGTAAATCGGTTTCAGTTGGCTAATACAAACCATACTGACGTCTCTCGATGCTTCAGGCCTTTTCAAATAAGATTAGTGGACTTCACATATGGTTGTTGATCCTCCGGATTTAAAGAGCAGTTAAAATATTTCCCTTTAATGTGTCTCCATATCCGGCTTGATAAGAACGTAATACCCGAAGACATTAAATACAAGGTATGTATTTAATGTCTTTGGGGCTTACAAGCTTCAGTGAACAGCAAAACACATGAGCGTAGACAATAATGATACAAAAGCCTCAACAACATGGAAAAGGGCCACATAATCACTCCCCCTCCCTTTTTTAATTCACAGAAGGACGAATAAGCAAATTGTTGCCTTGCTTTAGTCACGTCTTCATGTCTAATGGAATTTTGTACCAAAGTCCGTTTAAGGCAAGTCAGCTCACTTGGTGACCACCTTTGTAACACCCTCGGGCAGCTCTTTTTATGTAAGCAGGTGTCAGGTACTGCTCTTATTTATTTAGATGGGGACAAAATGAAATGTCCAAATAGTTTCAATGATATATTCCAAATCAGCAGAAAAATTTGACATACATTTTGTCTCTTCACTGAAGTGACGTGTGTTGCGACCCATATTCAGAATGTGTGCTCTGCATTTAACCCATCCAAGTGCACACACACACACACACACACACACACCCAGAGCAGTGGGCATCCATATTGCTGTGGCGCCCGGGGAGCAGTTGGGGGTTCGGTGCCTTGCTCAGGGGTCTCACCTCAGTCGTGGTATTGAGGGTGGAAGAGAGCGCTGGTTATTCACTTCCCCCACTTACAATTCCTGCCAGACACGTGACTCAAACCCACAACCTTTGGGTTACAAGTCAGATTCTCTAACCATTAGGCCACGACTGCCTGAATAACACAAGAAATTGGTCCAGCTTGAGCATTCTCTAGAGTTAAAACCAGTAACTTTGTACCAAAAAGCTGAATGACTTCTTTAAGGAGACTTGACTTCCATTTCTACAGCAACCATATTGAGCATTGCAGTTTCTCTCATTTTTGATAGTGCTATGTGATATTAACTCCTGTTCTGACTGGCCAACCTTTTCTTAAGAATCTGTCATTTAAAGTAGAAATGAAATGTGCATATTTTTGGCACTGGTAATGCAAACTCTGGATTCAGTGGCTATCAGAGGGCTCTTTCTTTTCAATGCCGGCAGTTTATGAAACTAGACTCCTCTCCGTTGCACTGTAAAACAAATTTTTAAATCATTATTGGCGCAAGTAATTCACAAAGTACGTAAGCCTTTATTTTTTATTTATTTGTTTGGAAATATTGGTTTCTTAGTTTTTCCTCTTTTTAATTTCCCACAGTGAGGGTCGACTTTCAACAAGCGGTTTCTTGTCAAGAGCAACCATGAAACAAGCAGGCAGAAACACAACGCAGGCATAAGACATTTCAGGCGAGAGAGCCACATCTGAGCCGAAAAGCTGGGAGGCTGATGACAAGAGAGCTGGTGTTGACAAGGAGCACTTCCTGGCCACAGGCGATCAATTCCCCTATCAGAGGCGTTCTTCAGACAGAATAGGTTTGGAATGGTAAGACCGATATTCAGTAAATTACATATATGAAGACAAAAATACAGTACATACTCATGCAAACACTAAAATGGCAGATACAAAAATAAACACAAAACAATTTTGCACTTAAAAGTCTGGCATATTGGTCTGCGTACAGAACGCAAACCCACAGATTTAGACATATCACCATATGAACATTCAAATTGAGAGTGAAGGGAAAGAGAGACTGGATACAATCTAAAAGAATTAACAGACAATGATGGACAGATGGACAAAACAGATGGAACGATACTTCCCCTCCTTTAGTCTCTAACACATGCACACCCAACCATCCACATCACACAACATCCACACATGGTTGTATTTTCACATGAGCATTGCCAAAAGAGCTGGTTCCTTTGGAAGGAAGTAAACCATCTTCTTTTGCTCGAGGCATGACTTTGATAGTTCCGAAATCCAACCACTTATGTTGTCTTGATATCTTTCAGCAAATACCAATTCACTCATCTGTTTCTCTACATGTGGCTGTGGTGGTCTGGTTTAGAAAACTGGCTCTTCGGATTTTAATGTGTGCCCCCAACGTTCCACCACATTCATTGAACTGGGCAAATTAAAATTGTGTAAATTGCATGCTGATATGCACAGAAAAGGGTCTCTGGTTACGCACATGCATACATTTGTTCTTACCTTTGTTGAAATGTTAATGAATCCACATTGGAGAGTGCATGCCTGCAGATAGTAATTAGCATAATACACACCCAAACCATCTCCATATGAAGAGTTTCTGCCGAACCTCATTCGTACAGGTGCAAATGTTTTTATTCTTGTGTTTTTATGCAAAACATTTTCAAATAATTATAAAATGTTGTGCATGTGTCAATATATATATATATATATATATATATATCAATGATAAATAGATACTATATAATTATATATACAGTATATAATATACATTTTATTTATATACATTTTTTTTATTATTATTTCTATAGATATTTCTGTTCTATAAACATTTTATAAACACTTTCTTAAACGGAGTGTTTATTATGGTTCATTGTGAGTGTTTATTTTATATTTAGATAAAATCTTAAAGGGGTCATATGATGTTGTTAAAAAGCTCATTATTTTGTGTATTTGGTGTAATGAAATGTTTATGCAGTTTAAAGTAAAAAAAAACACATTATTTTCCACATACTGTACATTATTGTTTCTCCTCTATGCCCGACTTTCTGAAACGCGTCGATTTTTACAAAGCTCATCGGTCTGAAAAGCGAGGTGTGCTGTGATTGGCCAGCTATCCAGTGCGATGTGATTGGCCGAATACCTCAAGCGTGTGACGGAAATGTTATGCCCCTTATCATACTGTGATGATGCCCTGTCCGGCCTGAGCGACGATTCAAAAACATGAAAACCCATTATAAACGAGGCATTCGTTGCATCCAGTGGTGACATAATTATGGATTATAATGACTTATACTGTCTTTTTACGCGTTGCTTGCATCGCGCCTTGTAAACATAAAACCATGTCTGCATTTGTGATCTGAGAAATGACAAACAACAAGCCCTACTCTACACTGCCCAAAACTCGCGTTTGAATCGTCAGTGGCAAATTCTTTAAATATAAAAAATGTACTCACAGTCTGTGAGTCAGAACAGCCGGCATTGTAGTCTACTCTACCAGGATCAGGAAACGTCCTCCGTAAAATGTGCTGCACACATCTGAATATTTGGGTTGAAGTGTTCTGGAACAGTGTTGTAGCGTCTGGACCACTCCAACACACAATATATATTTTGTTAGCTAGATTTCACAAATACTTTGTACATATTTCCCCATGAGCTGATTCGCTACAGTGTTGTAAATACAACTTAACCACTGATTTCTAGTCGTGTCCATTTTTGGAAGGCCAAACAAAGTGGTTTTGCTTTCACAACGAGAAACAGCGTCACACACGGCAGCCTAGAGTGAGCAGAGGCCGAGGGCTAGAGTGAGGAATGGCCGGAGGGCTAGAGTGAGCGGAGGCCGGTGGGCTTGAGAACGGTGCGGCCGGCGGATTTGACGAAGGAGCGTCTGGAGGGCTTGCGGCAAACACATGTGACGACCCCAGGTCGGACTCCACTTCGTCCACGGTGAAAGCCGATCTGGCAATCCACAGCGCAAAGTTGAAGTATTTCCTCAGCAACCAGCACGGATCAGCTCCATGCATGACGAAGCGGATATCGTCCTCTTTTGGAAGGCTGAACAAAGTAATTTCACTTTCACAACGAATCACACAGTGCCTTCACAACATGGCGGTGGCGGCAACAATACCACAATGAGAATAAAAGTTACGCCTTCTTTCTTTGCGTGAACATCTGGGCGCCGTTATGCAAATCTTCCCACATCGTGACGTAGATATTTGGGGGCATGTTAGAACGAGCCATTTCAGGTAGGTGTGGCTGACTCTTAACTTTTATAAAGAATATCTCTTTGGATTCGAGACTTTAGTCTTTGAAACTTTACAGATCTTCTTTTTGCACCAAGAGCTTGTAACACTCCAAAGAGAAAGAAGAAATTGAAATTGCATCATATGACCCCTTTAAAGCTTCAACTTATTGATGAATCATGATGTGCACAAATATGTATGCGATAGTAAATCAACAGTGTGAAATGTTATATGTACATAAACAATTCACACTTATTAAAATAAATTGAGTGTTTTTTTAATGGTTTTAATTTATATTCAGAAAAAATCGTAAAACTTAAACTTATTGATGAATCATGATTAGCGCAAATAAATATGTGTATGCATGGAATAGTGAATGACACCCACCGTTGCTAATTACTCTTCTGGATCTCTTCAAACCTCTCACAAACTGTCTCTTCCTGTCCCCCTTAGAACAATTTCCCAGCTTGCCTCTGAAGTCCATGGCCTCTTGTCGTCTGTGCTCAATGTTATCTAATCTCAAGCAGTAGGGCTTTAAAATCCTTCTGAATGGGCCAACGCACTTCAGATTACAGTCTGCCCTGTCTGTTGTCTAGATTTTCTTCCAAACTTCCACTTGGAGCCGTAAGTACCATTAGCCTCTCCACTGTCACCCCTCAATAAGACAGATAAGACTCACTGGGAGGATGTCAGCAATGGACGCACAAAGATGGGCTCCACCTGTGTCAGTTTCCACCCTTATCCTTCCTGAGACATACTGGCTCTTGCTTGGCTATTTTTACCCTATCTCCTCCAGTAACAGCCTAAACTAAGGGGTCGCTGTCGATTTATTGGCATCCACACAAGTGTAACCACACCAATGGCCTCCTTCAAGCTACAAGGTGCGACTGAGCTTAATGTACAGGCTATCACCGAGTCCTATCTAAAGAGCTTTTAACAGTTCATAAAAAAAGAAAGAAGTCTGTTTAGAACACAAAGTTATTTTCCAGTAGCCATAGTTATCTCCATGTGAAGTCTATAAAAAAAGAAAGCAGTGATATATGTTGAATTTTTTTCTCAATATGATACTGTTCAAACTTGTTCAGCCTTTGTGTTTTTGGGGTCTGAATTACCTAAAAGGCTATTCTCAAAATACTTACTTAGCATAATTATAAATACCAGATAAAAGGAGCACAGTCTATTTTGTGATGTTGATTATTGTCCATCCTAAATGTATATTTTCTTCTGTATCTGTGATTTCACAGTGAAAGGAAACGCAAGTGCCGAACAGCCAGGGGATATGGGCAGGACCAGTCAATCATCATCAGAAGTGAGGGGCGGTAATAAGAATGTGGGGAAATTCCACACTTCCTCACAAATGAATTTAAAGTGAGTTTTTAAAGGACATCAAACCAAACTGCAGTTTGGATTCATGTAAAATCTCTCTCATTCTCTCATGCTGTAATTGAGATCATGACAGCATTAAAGTTCCTAAAGTGACCCAAATGTTCATCAGCTCAACGCTTGAGAGGTTGCGGATTGGAAATTAGTTTGGACGTTCTTATGTGATTTTCTACACAAGGAAAAAGCAAAGCATGATGCATTTTTGAGGTTGGCTAGCCACATTTTCATTTCATTTCATTTGGAGCGCCACAAACCCAAATATGGCACATTAGGAACACACTGAACAAGACAAATATCCTGGTAAAGAAACATCTGTTAAATTTTCAACAACCAATGAATCACACCAATAATGCATCACGTTATTGGCTCATCCGCTGGGAATTTCCTACCTTCCAAGGAAATGGCACAGTGATTTAAATGAATGGAAACGTACTCATCTGTACCTTCCTCTCTCTCTCTCTCTCTCTTTACCAGCATGCCTTTTATTTGTGAAGAAGCCAAAAAGTGTAGTTCACTTGCCAAGAGGAAGTTTAGGGCTGATTGCAACCATGATTAAAGTGTTTGTTTCAGACTGTGCTGAATAAATCCATTTTGCATGGTTTGCTAGTAAATAAATAAATAAAGATCAGTTCACGGGTTCCAAATTAAATAAAAAAATGTGGTAAATGTAAATATAAAGGGTGCCTGGAATCCATGTGTTTCTTTGTTGTGTATTCTATCTTAATTGCTCATTACTGCAGGATTGTTATTTGAGGCACAATTAAGACCTGCATAATAATGCAGTCAATTGATTGATGAACTCATTCATGTTCTGTCAATAGAGCCAGCACACTGGTGTTTGAGAGAACAATGAGAGAGAACAAGAGAAGGGCAAATAGCCTTTAACCAGCTGTGTCCCATCAATGTCCATCAGTCAGTCCAGTCTTGTGAAATTTACTTTTCTCTGGATTATACACTCGTTCTTCTCAGTTGATGAAACATTGAACGTCCAAACTAAATTCATTTTCAAATATTGTGTATGTTTTTTAAAGAAATATTTCATCCAGAAATGAAAATTATGTCATTATTCACTTCCAAATGTAACTCAAATGAGTTTCTATCTTTGGTGGAACCCAAAAGGTGAATGTTTGAAGAATATTACTTTCTAGTAATTAATGTAAATGAGACCGTTATTATGATCAAAAAAAGTACTATAAAAGTGGTTCACTTTATATTCAGGTCTTGTTGAAACTGTCAATTTTGGGATTGACTGAAATTTAAGTTGTTAGACCTCCTTGCTGTAAGTTTCTTTTGTGAACACTTTATTCTTCTAAGTCAGATTTGTCTTCCAAATCAGAATTATTTTACGTGATCCATTTGACAAAACTGATCTGAATAATTCAAACTCACAACCTGATTCATGAGTTCTCAAGGAAATGTCAGTGTGTCCGTCACATAAAGCTCCGAAGTATCCGAAGACTACCATAGTCTGGTACCGCACTAGTCTGCTTTTATGATAATTTGATGCTTTTGCATCCTTTTTGAGGCATGAAAGCTCTAGCCCCCATTCATTGTAATTGCATGGAGAGCAGCTATTATTCAAAATGTATCTGTTTGTATCACACATGCACAAAAAAAGAGAGAAAATCATATGGGTTTGGAATGACATGAGGTTAAATGAGCAAATGATGGCAGCATTTTCACTCTTGAGTGAACTATTTCTTTAACTGCTCAGGGAGGTAAATCTAAGAGATTTGTTTTTATGTGGAAGGGCTACGCAGTGGGACTCTGAGAGTATCAATCAAGGCTGTCACTGACTCCTGCAGCCTCTTGCTTCAGTTACCACAGACACATCTGCACAAAATTCAGCGTGAAATTGTATGGCTCCTACCCCACAAGGGCCATCTGCCTCCTTACAGTCCTGATCTACCTCTACCCCCTTCAGAGTCCTGAGCCACGAGCTCCGGTCACACCGTTGCTAGAGGTGTCCTACTTGTTGCATTTGTCCTTTCCAACCTCTGAATGTGCCTTCTAGAAAGCTCATACTATTACCTATATCTGTCATTTGTAACTTCAAAACAAATATATGTAGATTGGCGTTGTTGACTTCCAAATACCTAGAGGACAATGTTATTGCTCTTTTATTTATTATGAAACTAAATGGACTTCTCAATTTTTATGTATTCACACTGTTTTAGATATTTTACTTAAAATTTCTCAGGAGGAATATTACACACATTAGGAAATTGTTGGAATACTTCAATGAAACTTGCATTGGTTAGATTGTTTTGTCACAGAACAATTGATTAGATATATGTGAGGTCATATTAAAATCTGACATATGATTGCAAAATCTGAGTGCAATCTGCGATGTTGTTGCGTTCTCTTTTAGAGGGTGTTTACAACACTGTTTTCAACAAAAAACTGAAAACTTTTTTACGTGTTTTGGCCATTAATTTACACAACAGTGTTTTGGTGTCCTGAAAATGCAAACTTTTGAAAATGGATGTCAAAGTTCAAGTTTTTAAAAACAATACCATTATCATCTTCAAATTTGTTTATATGAAAGCGATGACATCATGCACTTGTTTACAGAGTGACATCGCCAACTACTGACCTGGCATGCATAATACAGCGTTTTTTGCAGTTTTCACAGATCAATGTGAATTGAGATAATTTTGACAACGTTGTCATCTGTATGCAAAACTTTTCAAAAAAACAAAGGAAATCCAAAAAAATTTTGTAGAACATGGTTATTGTGTAAACGTACCAGTACACAGACACATGTAAGATTACTGGGGTCTTTTACTTAATTCTGAGAAACAGACGATTCCATTTGATGTGTATATGTGTGTATATATATATATATATATATATATATATATATATATATATATATATATATATATATTTTTTTTTTTTTTTATATATATATATATATATATATATATATATATATATATACTTTTTTTGTTTTGCTTATGACTTAAAACGTTGAATTTTTGGATGGACTTTCTACTTTTTCTTTGTACTTTCCTATTTCAACATTCTCTGAGTTGTGTAGATAATGATATAACGATAACCTCCAGAACTCACATCAAAGAAGGTAGTCTAAATACCCCACCTCGGCAAAGCTTAAGAACACAAAATGAACCTGATTACTTTGCAGTACAAGTCTCCAAAAGTCATTGAATTGCATTATGCCGCCTGTTAATTTACAAATGCTACACCCAAACTGCAATCACAGTCTGTGAGAATGTAGCCATACCTTGGGGCCATTTTGAAAAAGATCAATACACCTGACATTAGATTAGAAACACATAAAATGGTCGAATGGATAGCAGCTGACTGTGCAGTTTTAAAGCTCCTGATAGACTGAAGTAATGAAACAATGGACTGAAATCACAGTATCGTCTTTAAGATGCTCACCAATGTGACCTGGACTCACTAGCAGTCAGTTAGAGGTAATCAGACTTTTTGGGTTCAAATTCCAATCAAACTACCTTTTTATGTAACTGACTTCCAGCTTTATGCAACCGGCCACTGCTCTCGAACTTCTGGCCAGAGATGCTGTATACTCAATACATGAGATATAAAATACACAGATCAACGAGAGAGTGCAAGAAAGAGAGAGAGAGGTGAAAGAGAGTCTGTATGAAACAATCTTCTTTTCATGTCAAATCTGATTGTAACATTCTTGACATTTCACACCACCTATATTCCCCATTGGACTCAGGAAAGGTAATCTAGTGTAGCTGAAGGCAGATTGAGAGACAGGCTAGCCTGCTACACATGGCGTTCCCCATGGCTACGTGGATATCAGATTCCCTCCCACATACTTCCAGAGTGTTATGAGGATTTTCACTCAGTTTCCTTAATGGGCTTAGATGTTTTTATTCATCATTTCTTAAATAGTTTGAATTTGAGCAGGAAAGGGGGTGTTCTCCAAGGGGCTCGCTCTGATTCTCAGTTAGCGAGAGAATGGGTTATTTTGACTGCCAGAGCCGGAGGCAAACACACAGGACACATTTTGATGTTTTGAACTTTGAAAAGACCTCCACCTTCCTTTTCTATGCTGTAAGTAAATATTAACAGTTCTGCTGTAATAGTATGCCTTCCTAAGTGTTTATGTAGCATTAAAACTCTAAAGGTTGTTAGATTGTTAGCGATGATTAGCTAGAAATGCTATCGTGGAAACAAAAGACCTATAGGGTCCTTGTGGTGGCTGTATGGTTCTTTGTAGATTGTAAAAGTTCTTGATTTGACATCTGAAGTTTGTTATATCTGCATATTTTTTGTAGAAATAGGTTAACAGTGGAAAAGTAAAGCCCTTCAGGTTTCTTTGAAGATTTTATGAACCTTAGACCCAAAAAAGCTTTTTTATCGCATCAAATTTGACTTTATTTTAAGGGACTGTTTTCCTGTGTGATTTTATCTAGTAGTAAATTAGATTTTGTGGAAAGTGTTTTGGAAATTTTTCTCAGGATTGCATTTGACTGTCATTCTCATGCCACTTGCTGTGCTTATCTGCTTAAAAACTTCTAAAATTAGATTTTTCAGGCAATACTCTGTTAGTCGGTGTGTCCTTGTATCTTACATATTGAACGCTATATTTATTCAGGTAGGGTAAGGATAGTCAAATCTAGCCTGAACCATGAAGTACTCACCCACTCGCAGGTTGCAGTCCTTCAGGAATGACGTAGAAGACTCCCTTGTGGTTGTTCTCCTTTAATGCTCAGTTTGTAGTTATAAGTAAAGTCTCACGGGAGGCAATCGTAACAATAACATCTCTTATTTTATAAGTTACAATACAAACTAGTTAATGCAAAAATAAAACAAAATTAGCTAAGCCACGTGTTCTATGATCAAACTCTAAACAGCGATATTGGAGATGCTGTTAAGCGCCCCTCGTTAGGGTATCAGGTGTCCTTCACGCTTAATGCAGGCAGCATCTGAAGAGTGTTTACTCCTCAGACATGTTATACTACTTTTTGGGTAATTCCAAT